TTTTAAAATTATGGGGTTTTTTTTTCACATTTACTTCATTTTTCCCCTTATTTTCCTTCCAGCAAGACTTAGTAGGTCTGGAAAATAGAGAACCGGTGTAAGTACATGCATTACCAGTTCAAAAATTAAATTTGTTTTTTATAAAATCAAGTCTCTATATATTTCCAAAGATACTTTAAGAACAGAAATGCCTAATTCATATCATCGATCAGCAGGAACTAATCGAGGTCTGGGAGGTATATCAAAGAATCCACAAACAAAAGGAGGTATTCATTTAAAAACCATGAAAAATTTAAAAATCATCAATTTAAACTGTTCGCTGTCTAGGGATTTTATGTGAGACTTCATTTTTAGAAGGAGTCCACTACTATAATTTGACTGGAGACCACGAATGTACTTCTCTAACAAAGATAGGAGTAATCATTCCTATCATTCTAACGATCTACTAATCATCCTAATCATTCCAATCATTTTGGAATGAGGGAAGAAAGGTATTATAAATGTCATACATGTTAAAAGAGATTCTTAACAAGTTTATACTTAAAAGATAAATCTTTCCTATTTAACATATAATTTTTTTATTTTGTGCTTTTGATGTGACAGTGAAATATTAATCTTATGGATTATTTTCATCTTTGCCATTCTGAAAAGCTCATATTCAAAATATCAACTTGGCATTTAATACAGTACAATACATAGCAGAGTTTCAAAATATAAAAAAACTATACTGTTTTCATATTTTTTACTTACTGTCAATAGTGATAAAATTGAGATTAGTGTCCATTGCATTAAATAGAATATTGAGAAATGGGAAATTATATAAAATATCTATAGTTTATTTTTTTTTAAGATTTTATTTGTTTGTCAGAGAGAGAAAGAGAGAGAGAGCACAAGCGGGGAGGAGGGGTCAGGAGGCAGAGGGAGGAGCAGGCTCCCTGCTGAGCAAGGAGCCTGATGCGGGACTCGATCCCAGGATCCTGGGATCATGACTTAAGCCGAAGGCAGATGCTTAATCGACTGAGTCACCCAGGCGTCCCAAAATATCTATAGTTTAGTAAGAGAATATTTCCGTGCTTATTTAGTCCTCCTTCGAAATAAAAAATGATTTTAAGCTTACAGACATCGATACAATATAAATAATACAATAAGGATGAAGATATAAATTTGATTGAGCTCTACGTACCAGGTACGCTTCCAGGGACTTTACAGGTGATTATAATAGGTAGTTGAGTAGTGTTTACTTAGATGGGGGAGTCATTGTTTATCAGAACATATTTTGGCACAATTTTTTTTTATAATTTAGCAATATGTGTCCGAATGTTTAATGGTCTTACCCTTTGTTTTGGCAATCAAACATCCAAGATATTTCCCCACAGAAATACTAACATATGTGCACAAAGACATATGAGCAAGGTTTTAATCTCAGCATTTTTATCATGGCTAAAAATTGGAAACAATGTAAATGTCTAACAGTGGGGGATTAGTCTAATTATGTACATACTGTGGATTAAAATTAATGATGTAGATAAATCAATATTAATTGATATAGAAAGTCTCCATTATGTAGTTCAGGGGGTGCCTGGGTGGCTCAGTTGTTAAGCGTCTGCCTTCGGCTTGCGTCGTGATCCCAGGGTCCTGGGATCGAGCCCCACATCGGGCTCCCTGCTCCGTGGGGAGCCTGCTTCTCCGTCTCCCACTCCCCCTGTTTGTGTTCCCTCTCTCGCTGTGTCTCTCTCTGTCAAATAAATAAAATCTTTAAAAAAAAAAAAGGGGAGAAAAGGCAAGCTAAAAAATAATATGTATAGTAAAATTTATTTTCCTAAAATATGTTTTACATATATATGTAGAGATCAAAGTTAGAAAGGTTTTCCTCCAAAATGTTTATCTCTGCATGGCAGACTTATTTTTTTTCTTTATTTCTTTAAACATTAAAAATATTTATTTACAATAATCATCTAATACAAGTAAAACAAACAAAAAAAGCTATATTTACTTGGGACAAATATGGTTAAGAAAATCAGAATAGAGAAAAAAATGAGGGTAGGAAAAAAGTGAAGACAAAAGTGAGGTCAATTTTAGAAAAAGCATCCACTAGAGTCCCTTTACACTAATTTATCAAGTTTCTCCATTCACTCATCCATTCATGCAACTTTTATTAAGCATGTACTGATTTCCAGGCATAATGTAGTTGGACATACAAAGTAGGGACATTCATTCATTCAAACTGTATTATGTCAACAACTATTTATGATATATCCACAGATATGTCACGGTTTGTCCTAGGTACTGAAATATATTTACCCTATTGCAATTCACAGTGAGGAGGGCTTGAAAAAGGTGTATCTATGGAACCATGGAACCACATAGCAGGGCAACCAGCTAATCTAGAGTGCAGAGTTCAGGGAAGCCTTGTAGGAGATGCTGCGTAGGCTGAACTACAAAAGAGAGTTAAGAGTCAACTGGGCAAAGAAAGGGAGAAAGAAGCTCTAGTTTTAGATGACAGATAGATAGATGACAGATTTATATACATGGATTATAGTTTTACATATATATATATAAACATTTTCATTTTTGAATACATAAGGTTAGGGGTGTAAAACGTCCTGATATGAGTCAAGAAAGGCTAATTCTTTATAGTGTTCCATGCATTTAACCCATTAAATCTTATATTTGAGTAATGGTCCAGGAAATGCTGAGAATAAATTATTTTTTTTAAAGATTTTATTTATTTATTAGAGAGAGAGCACAAGCAGGGAGAGTGGCAGGCAGAGGGGGAAACAGGCTCCCCGCCGAGCAGGGAGCCCGATGCTGGAACTCAATCCCAGGCCCCTGGGATCATGACCTGAGCCCAAGGCAGACGCTTAACCATCTGAGCCACCCAGGCGCCCCGAGAATAAATTATTTTTTAACTACTGCTAGTTTTATTACAATGTGTTCATTCAATATAAGTTAGGAAATACAGCAAGCTTAAATTAGAAAAATGATATATATGTAGGTCAAATTCTGAATAAACAGCTAACTGCATGAGCTGACTTTCAGAGCTTATAACATTAAAAAAGTACTACAGAAGTATAAGCACCATAAATTCAGGTCCTGCCAAAAGAAAAGAGGATGTGAAGGGGCGCCTGGGTGGCTCAGTCATTGGGCGTCTGCCTTCGGCTCAGGTCATGATCCCAGGGTCCTGGAATCAAGCCCCACATCGGGCTCCCTGCTCGGCGGGAAGCCTGCTTCTCCCTCTCCCAATCCCCCTGCTTGTGTTCTCTCTCTCGCTGTCTCTCTCTCTGTCAAATAAATAAATAAAATCTTAAAAAAAAACTATAAAAAAAGAGGATGTGATAAGAACACCAAAATCATACACATTTGTAAAAAAAAAAAAAAAGGTATGATGCAAGCTTCAATATAGCAAGACAACATGACTGTTAATTATTTATAAATACAGCTAAAGGTTTATATGATTCACAACCAGATATGTGCACGGCAAATTTTACAGTGAAATCTGAAGATCCAACTCCCAGATTAGCTGTGACTGAGGGGAAGTTAACGAGGAAATATGTTCATTTGGATAAGATTAATGAGATAAATGAATTTAAAAAATCAATAGTATGACACATAACTGAAACCTTCAGGTATCCATTCATTTGATCAACATATATTTGTTATATAACTACAATGTGTTAGTTTCCTTAATCCCCTCTTACCCTACCACAAGGTTGATGACAGAGGAAAGAAAGGAAAAATGGAGACAGGACTTATATACTTATGATATCAACAGAAGGTGACTACTGAAGTTACTGATAACATGATTTTGTACGGGGAAATCTGTCTCTCTCATTATGCTGAAAGCTTTAGGACAGATCTTTATACTTAACCTTTGTTTCCCAGGGATTAAAGACAGTGCCTGGTACATAGCAAGCATTCAAAAAATACCTAAATGAAGTACTGTAATTTACATTAGCCCAATCCATTCCTTAAGAAATAGAACCTGAATTATCACCACTCCTAACTAATAGCCAAATGATGTCCTGATTACTTGTACATTTAGGGGATAATTTCAGTGTCTTTCATAGACATATGGATTCTTCAAAAAGGAAGCCAATAGTTGACAGTTGATCTATCCATCCACTGAGATTCTGAGTGGGTTTTCTTCTCCCTTTCTTTTACTTACCTTTATTTTTTGTAGGATTTTTTTCCCCTAACCCTCCTCAAGTAAAAATTAATTATTCACCCTGGTCACTGTATACAAAGTACAGTCCTGATACAAAGTACAAACATTGGATCCCGCTACAAGGGCCCTGCAGCCATCCTCAAAAATTCTGGCTTCAGTCACAAAACTTGCTATCCTTTTTGTAGTGTTCCTCGGTAGAGGCCGTTTTCTCAAGTTTTCAAAAGCCTTCTGGAGTCCACCTAAAACCTTTGTACCCATTTTCAAAGACTTCTCTAGGGCGTTCTTCCTAGGTAAATAAACTTTAGTTCTAGGATTCTATTGTATTTCACATCCACGCATGCATGGACTTATTCTTTCAAAAAACTAGTTTATACAGAATATAAATTCAAACTCCTAATGATTTATTCATTCACTCTTTGGAAACAAATCTTCCCCCATTAACCTGGCAGCTCCAGCACTGCAGGTAGTATGTCTTAAAACATCTCTTTTATTGAAAATGTTGATTGAATAAATCCAAAGTCAATTAACAATGGTGTACCTAGAAAAATGGAAGGCACTCCACAAGCGAGAGGGCAAAACCCCGAGCGCCGTTATCTTTTTTATTCTCACTCACTCTCCTAGGGTCCCGGCGGGACCCGGAGCAGCGTGGCGGCGTGGCGGGCGGTCCCCGCAAGCCTCTGTGGGGCGTGGCCCCGCAGCCCCGCCCCGCCCCGCCCCTGGCGCGCGCGCGCGCGCCCGTCGCCGGCCCCGATCTCCTAGTCCGAGCGGCGCAGAAAAGCGACGAGAGGGGGCGGGGCTTGGAGACCTCCTCCATCCTCGGGCCGAGACCGGAGGGATGTTCCCTGCTCAGGAGGAGGCCGACAGAACGGTGTTTGTGGGGAATTTAGAGGCCCGAGTACGGGAAGAGATTCTTTACGAGCTGTTCCTTCAGGTATCGTCGGCGGGGGCGGCGGACGGGCGGGGAGCGTCGAGCCGGAAGCGCAGCCCGAGGGGCGGGGCGCACCTGGACCACCCGGAGCCCGGCCCCCTTCCCGCCGCATCTTGTACCTAGGTTTATAATTTAGTTCCATTTTGGCACACCTGCCTCTAGGTGAGCAGCTAGTAGTGAAGTGATATATAATATGCGCCCCATCCCCATCCCCACTATAGAGCCCTAGGAGTGGGAAGTGACTTAGCTCCCCCCAGCCCCCGGCCCTGAGTAGGGACTTTGCGGAGACGGCCTGGGCCTTGGGTGTCTAGGGCAAAACAGAAAACAGCCCTGTCACTACCTTCCTTCAGGTAATAAGCGCCCTCACGCCTTACATCCAGCATTGGTATAGATTTTAAAATGTTACCCTATACATTACTTATTCCTCCAAACCCTTTGATACGGAGGGTGTTTTTACTCCAGTATGGTAAGTAAGATTTAATGATTCGTACAGTCAAATCATGACTATGAGCAATTGATTCCCTGGGCAGTTCCCTGTATTTCATACCAAGAGGGCCTTTTGGAAACTTTTCGAGATTTAGGGCCTCCATGAGTAAGCCTTCTGTCCTCTGTAAACACTCACCTATTGTATACATGTAGATGTCACTTCTAAAGAAATCTACTCTTCCAGCCATTCATCTAGCCATTACATGACAAACACGAAGTAAGATGCTGAACATACAAATTTAAGAGATAACCCTTGGTCTTTCTTTCTTTTTTTTTAAGATTTTATTTATTTATTCGACAGAGAGAGACACAGCGAGAGAGGGAACACAAGCAGGGGGAGTGGGAGAGGGAGAAGCAAGCTTCCTGCCGAGCAGGGAGCCCGATGTGGGGCTCGATCCCAGGCAGTCGCTTAACGACTGAGCCACTCAGGAGCCCCGCCCTTGGTCTTTCTAAAAGGGGAAATTTAAAATTAATTACCATGATTTAGGATAATCTAAAAAGAGAAGGATACGTAATATAGTGAAGTTGTTTGGAATATGAACGCTATAATGTCATAATGTCTAATGTCGATGTGACTTTGGGCAAGTAAATGAGTTTCTCAGTACTGCAGTTTCTTTAAATGTTAAATGGTAGTAATAGCATCTAAAAAGTGATGTGGTGGGAAGATTAAATAAATTAATGCAGGTAAAACAAAATTGAGCTTGGCATTTCTGAGTGTTTGCTGCTGCTACTGCTACCACTAATAGTGGTACAATTACTAATACTACTAATACTAATAAATGAGAAATCAAGAAAGAAAGACTTTCCCCTATCAGAATAAGGGCAAGTTCCAAGGCAGACAATAGCAAAGCTAAATTTCTGGGACTAGGTAAGTACTACTAGCAGTGAAAAAGGTTCTCTACATGGTTTTTGAAAGGCCCTAACTTTGTTTCTGTCTTCTGTTAATTTCAGATACACACAATTTGATCAAGAGAATTCCCCCTCCAAGGAACACAGTTTCCTTTCCTGGACATAAAACTTTATTATTTGAAAAATACGTTTAAGGCTTTTATGCTTACTTTTCTAAGTTGCCATCTTTTAAAATTTGCCCTTTTCAATCTGCTCTGATAGTTGTCTTTTCCTATAGTTATTTTCCCCAATATCATTTGAAACTTTCCACTCTAACAACAACAAAAATTAAAAGAAAACAGAAAAAAGAAAAGACCTTATAGTTTTTTCCTGAAGGTTTCTCTCATGTTGAGCCTCCAAAAAGGAGGAGGGGAGTTGGTGAAGGGGTTGGGGATAGGCATAAAGGCCCCCAGCACGCACTTACATTATTTCTAGTCAGTAGGAACTGGATCAATATGAGTTGTATGGATCTACAAGGTAGATAGATAGATAGATAGATATTGTAGATATAAAATCTTCTCATTTTTTAAATAATTTCTACCTAAACAAAATGTTCATCTCTTTTAACAGATCAGGCAACCAAGCATATGTTTTTATTTTTGCCTAGGTCCTTCTGTATTCTGTAAGAATTTGCTAAAATGAGGTGTCTTAGAAAGGCTTTTTAGAACACATGAACTTAGTCTTCAAAAAGACTAAAAGATGATGGGATTGTTACTACAAGCAAGTTTTGTTGAAATTTATCTTTAGAAATGCTTTGGTATACCTTCGAATTTGTAAAATTCAAAGCATTTAAGCATACTCTTTTCATTTGTGATTTCATATATTTAATATCTAGTATAGCAGTACTGATTAAAACTGGGTTTTTTTATTACTGTATGTTTATCCTTTTACTAGTTTCTTTCAAATTTCTGATTATCCTTTGAAGAGAAAAAATCAGGTTTAAAGTTTTTGTACTTTTGACTAAGAAATACTGAAGTAGAGATTTGGAGGAGAAAGATAATGAATTCAGTTTCAGTTATGTTGAAGAACAGTCACACACAGGTCTCTAGGCGGCATGAGTGTAAAAAATAGATTTGTTGACGAAGTGGTCCTTGGATCCAGAAGGGAGGATGAGCTAGTCCCTGAGAAAGCAGAAAATGAATAAAAAAAAAAAAAAAAAAGACGGAATCTTAAAATGTAGTATCATTTTAAAGATGATAGTTAACATTTTTCTTTAGAATAAAAGCGATTTCTTTATCCAACTCGACAGAGAAAAGTAATCAATCATTAAAGTACAATTAAAAAGTATGAGCCAGGAGTGCCTGGGTGGCTCAGTTGGTTAAGCATCTGCCTTTGGCTCAGGTCATGGTCCCAGCGTCCTGGGATGGAGACCCGCATCAGGGTCCCTGTTCCACAGGGAGTCTGCTTCTCCCTCTGCCCCTCACCCCGCTCATGCTCTCTCTCTGTCAAAAATAAATAAAATCTAAAAAAATAAATAAAAATAAAAAGTATGAGCCATTTGCCATTAAATCTTTGTTGTTTATAAGTCTTTGTGGGTGCCTCCTGTAATCATTATCGTGGGGGACATGTAATTTTTTTAGTTGTAATTAATACCTTTTTACAATATTTCACTCTGCTTTTTTATTCTCCTGCTAATTATAGGTTTTACTACCAATACAGTCTGAATATTTTCAATTTATTTTGTTTTATTCCATTTTTTTAATACATGATGGAATAATATTCTCCCATTGTGGGAATTAGAACCTTTCTAATTTTTCACTCAAACAATGCACCTACTTAAAAGTCGTAAGCATACTAAAACATTTTTTCCTTTGGGAATATTTACCAAATGGGATTATTAGATCAAAATACATGATAAATTAGTTTCTCTTGTCAAAATGTTTAACTCTGACAAAAAAAATGAGGCCATGCTACAATACAACAGTTTTTTAGGCTCACTCAAACCAACATTAGGTTTGTCATTTCAATTTGTTTTTGAGTTATACACAGTTAATACATACGGAGATAAAATAGTATTTTACTCTTAGATTTAAATGCTCTCTAAATTGTTTTGTTAAACCTAGCAGAGGGTAACATTTCTTTTAAGATTTGGAACTGTTACCTAAAATTTTCTGTTCTTAACACCATGAATGTTTTCTTGATGAGCAAAAAATACTAGAAAGTGTGATGAAATATGATATTTACTGTTAGGAAAATGCATCATTCGCAGAGCTACATAAAGCAATTACTGCTAACAGATTTATTTTGAAGTCCGAAGTTGAATATACTTGATTTATCTGAATGTAAAAAAAAAAATCTTTAGATTTATGAGAAAATAATTTTTAAGTTTTTTATAGGCTGGGCCATTAACCAAAGTGACTATATGCAAAGACAGAGAAGGAAAGCCGAAGACTTTTGGATTTGTCTGCTTTAAGCACCCTGAATCGGTGTCTTATGCCATAGCTTTGCTGAATGGAATACGTTTATATGGAAGACCAATTAATGTACAGTATCGATTTGGTAGGTCTTGCCACTGAAGAATCTTCCAAGTGTGTTTTGTTGATGGTGTTGTTCTCAGAGGTGTGAACATTGTGTTTTCTATATAATGTAAGACCAAAAAAGTGTTCCTTTTGTCTCTGTTAAATTTTCTCAGAATACGTAGACATTCATAGTGTTATATGATTAACTAGTATTGCCAATCCTATGGCATCTTTTCTATATTAAAGTTTAAAATGTTCTATCTTAGTACCAGCCAGCAAGTAGCTATGATAGTTGCTATTGGCTGTTGTAAATTAAGCAAATCTAAATGAATTGGGACACACAGCTCTAGCCTTTAATACATCAAGGCCATTTGCTGATCTTGTCAGTGCTAGTGTGTGGTATCAAATACCTACTGTTTGGGAGGTAGAGTGGGTGCCTTAGTCGTTCTCTTGCGAACACCATACTCTGCATTAGTGCCTTGGATCTAAGCCCCTGCAAAAGTAGCTGGCCAAAAGCGGCTGCAGAGTGACCCTCAGAGTCACTGTGGAGGAGAGCTTCCAGACACCAATGACCTCAAATGTCTTCTACATACCTGTCAAAAACGGATTAGATACTGGAGAACACTGAACTAGTAGACTCTACCTCTTTCATGTTTTGAGGGACTGATAGAGGCGATGCTTACGGTGCAGTGCTTGCAATGCATATGTTACCTCCCTCCCCTCAGTGATGTGAGCCTATTGATGTATCCCTTGCTTGTTTATTTTTTTCCTCTTATTATACTAAAAACAGATAGTAAGAAAACAGTACCTCATTGCAAAGGAAAAAGGTTTCTCCTTGTGTTTCTTTCTTTTATTTATATTTTTAATGATTTTGCAAAGGTAATTGGCTGTATCATTGCTTTCAAGTACTGTTTGGTTAACTCACACAGACTGGTAAAATGGGCCGGGATGCACTATGTTCTGACACATCCCAGCCAGCTGCTTAGCATCCTCTGTAACGTTTCATCCACTTTTGCCAATGCAGTTTAGAGAACTCCTGCATTCTCCACAAGAGGCAGATAACACTAATTTTTGCCATTATTAGTCTACAAGCGTGTAGAACAACACATCATCTATCTTATGGTCGCATGTCAATATCATTCTTCTGTGCAGCCATGGCTTTGGACAAAGCTTGGTTAGAATTCAGTCATTTGTTGTAATGTAAACAATCTGTAAATATCACTTGGGAGATCAAAGATATATTCATGTACCTTATATGATTAAGGAATTTTGACCAATGCTACATCCTTTTAGGTTTGGAGTTTTTCTATGGCTTAACAATAGAACTCCAAAAAATTGTACCATTAAGTAATCTGTTAATTCTTTTTCTTCTGTAGGGAGCTCTCGCTCTTCTGAACCAGCTAACCAAAGTTTTGAGAGCTGTGTTAAGATAAATTCACACAGCTACAGGTAATTAAAAATATTTTTTCAAAAAAACAAATATGTTCTTGTACGAAAAATAGTTTTTATAGATTCTGAACTATTGTAAAACCTTACTATTTAGACATGGGATAAAATTTAAGCAATTCACTTTTTTCTGAAATGATGAACAGTGGCAAAATATTTTGATTTAAAGTTCAGTTTTAATATTTTCAGTAGCAGGTGAGAAAGATTCATATTTCTAGTGTTCTTTATAGTTTACCTTATGCTTTTCGTAGATGTTAAATCACTTAAGCTTCCAAGGTGTCATTGTGATGGATCATAGAGATGCTATTATCCATATCTTGTACTTGAATAAACAGAGACGTAAAAGTTAACTAATTTTCGGGGTCATAAAGATGAAAAAGTGATAGTTGCTAGGCTTGAAATTAAGCCTTCTGACATTAAGCCATTCTGTTATTTATTGTACTACTTTTTAGAACTTCTTTATGATTATTTTCCAAATATTCTAAAATTTTGTATTGGCTGATTTCTTGATGCAATGGTAGCCTCTAAGGACACTGTCAGGCAAGCTATCCTAGAGGTCAGGGAACAGAAAGGCTCTGAAACTGAATTAAGATGTTCAAATCACACCATTTATTAAACCAATTTAGAAGACACAGTGAAAAGCAACAGGAAAGATCCTGGATAGTTTGGCACACGTATCATCGGGTACAAGTGACACTCTTACTTACTCCACATATTATCGATTGAGTCTATCTGTAGCACGTCTGACAGGATACGAACTTACTTACTATCTGAATTGAACATATATTATAACTTCTGCCGGTATCTCCCAAGTGATTTGCTTATTCTGTCCCTAACATGGTTTCATCACCGTCCCGTAAACTACTAGCTTACTTAGAGTCTGTTACAAGCATTTCATCCATCTTGTTTGTTTTTGTCTTCTGCAGCAGAACTGAATATTCTCATGTAAAATAACAGCTGAAAGTACTATCTCTCTGAGGCATGAGCGAGTGCCTCTGAGGACTGGCAATCACACAGGCTTATCTATAGGAGAAGTACTACCTCCCAAATAAAACACAGTGTGTTCCACATCGTCATTCTTCCCAGTATTTCTGTGTCAGGGAAATCAGGAGAAGTGAAAAAGTAGGTGCTGAGGGGCACCTGGGGGGCTCAGTCAGTTAAGATCTGCCTTCAGCTCAGGTCATGATCCCAGGGTCCTGAGATCGAGTCCTGCATCAGGCTCCCTGCTCCACGGGGAGTCTGCCTCTGCCTCTCCCCTGCTCATGCTCTCTCTCGCTCTTTCTCAAATAAAAAAGAAAGAAAGAAAATCATAAAAAAAAAACAAAGTAGGTGCTGACTTCAAATTACATGAACTTAAATCTTGCTTCTGCCACTTCATTAATGGTATGACCTTGGACAGGTTATTTCACCACACTGTAACCTGTTCTAAAACAAGGATCATACCTCGAAGATTGTTGTGAGAATCAAATTTTGTAATACATTCCATGTATTTAAAATACTGGACACATAGCAGGTATTCAGTAAATACTTTCAGCCAGTGTTACCAGAAAGGGGGGAATGATTTACTATGTTGGTAGGGGATGTACTATAGACTCATGAATTGAGCCATTTGTATAATATGAGAGCTTCTTCTCTTCTACTAGTGGGAAAACATACCTCATATTTCTCAGGAATTAGGAAGAAACAAGCTGTTGCTATTTGGGCAGAGGTAGAAAGACAAGCAGTATAAGATGTCAGAACTCTTGTATTCTATGTTTATGTTTGACAAACTAAATCATCACAAATTCTAGAGTAGAAAATCAGAATTATATGTATATTCCATAACAGTATACTTCATTGGTAGTACCTTATTTTCTAGTATTTGTTACATTATAAAGGAAGAATGAGAATAGGATATAGTGTCCTAGAAGTAATGTGCAGAGAAAAATGGTGTACATGTTGTATCCTTAGTCTTTCATGGGTCTTTCTTTGAAAAGGATTTTTTATGCTTCTGTTGCCTCTTATGCCTTCTGTTTTCAATAAATAGTTCCTATATTAGTTTGCTGGGGCTGCCATAACAAATAACCACAAAGAGGTACTTAAACAACAGAAATGTGTTGTCTCATAGTTCTGGAGGCTAGAAGTCCAAGATCAAGGTGTCCACAGAATTAGTTCCTTCGGAGGGCTATGAGAAAGAATGTTCTGTGTCTATCTCATAGTGTCTTCTGGTTATTTGGCAGTCCTTGATATTCTTTGGCTTGTAGGTACATCACCCAGTTCTTCATATGATGTTCTCCTGTGTATGCCTGTCTTTAGATTTCCCCTTTTTATAAAGAAAACAGTCCTATTGGATTAGTGGCTCATCTTACTCCAGTATGACCTCGTCTTAACCAATTACATCTGCAACAACCCTGGTTCCAAATAAGGTCACATTCTGAGGTATTGGGGTTAGGACTTCAACACAGAAATTTTGGAGTGATACAGTTTAGCTCCTAACTCTTCCCAATTTACATGTGATTCATCTCTGTAGACAACGATGCATGCCTTGAGATTCACCTAGGAAAGACGGTGGTTTTAGAGAATCTGCATCTGTTTTCGTAATGGTGCTAGTCTCGGCACTTCTGCTACTGAGGTTGTATCTTCCCCACTCTATTCCCCACGCTGTAATTTCATTGCACTTTTTGTTTTTTTCTTTACTATCTATACACATGTTCTGGTCTCCTCCAACCTTGTCCCCAAATCAGGCTGTTACATTTTGCCCCTTCTTCTCCCTGAAAAATCTTTCATCCTTCACATGCTTACGTCCTACATGCTTCTTAAGCCCATCGTTAGATGGAAGGTGCTCGTTCAGAGGTTATCAGGAACCTTCTGAACAATAGCTTCAATGCTAATTCAGTTTCCTCTTTCGTAACGACTGACACCGAATCCTTCCTTAGAGAAATTTACTCTTCCACTGGTTTTTGCCATAGTCTCACCACTTACCGGCGGGATGTCCGCGTGCCCGTCCCACTCTTCCTGTCCCTCCCCTGCCGTCGTCTTTGCCTCCGCCTTTCCCACAGCACACCTCCTTTCCTAAGGATTAGTAGTACCGGCATTAAAACTGTGCAGTGCTGTGGCGCGCGGAGACAAGTGAGGGCTAGCTGGAGAATCTACCTAGTAATTGTAACTGGAATTTATTAAATAGTTTCGTAGAAGCAAATATTACAACACTTATAAAGGAAACTTTAGCTCACGACAGTTTTTAAATGAGTTTTTATTATCTCAATTCGTGTGTGAAAGAAATCCACAAATGTGGATAAACATTAGCAGTCCATTTAGGAAAGAGCATAATTTTTATAGTTAAACAGTAAAGATATCTTCAACAATAAATTGAGGAAAATTTCTATATTTCTTTCACTTTTTATATCTGTAGAAGATTGAATATACCCTTGGTGATTACCAACGACTTGCTTTGCTCTCTTCATACCTAAGTGTCTGTTTCTTTATACACATATAACGCTGTTCAACATTTTCCTGTCAGAAGGCCAGATGTGACTCTAAATACTGAGATTTCGATATGTAGCAATTAGTAAGACTTAAGGTACTACTATGTCACTATATTATCAGTATAATATCTGATTACTTGTGTGTATATGTTTAAAGTTAATCTTAACTGAGCTGTCTTAGAGAAGCTTTATTTTTTAATAACAAGGAGCCTTTTTCTTCTTTTTTTAAGAAAAAAGGACATTTGTGTGTAGGGATTTTAACTTTTTATTAATTTTTCTTTTACCTCCCCAAAGAAATGAAGAAGTTGTGGCCAGATCTTCCTTTCCCATGCAGTTCTTTCCAATTAACAGTGCAGCTTTACCTCAAGAATATTTTTTCCTTCAGAAGATGGTAAGTTTGATATGCCTTTGGTTCAATATGTAATATAATACAGACTGTGATGGAACTTCTGTTTCTCAAATCTAAACCTGGGGTAAAGGCAGAAGCTGCCCTGAGCACTGTCTCCCCAATGGCAGTCTGCTCCAACAACCAAGTCATCTTCAACCTCACACCTAAAACTTCAGCGAGTATGTCAACACAAGAGGGGTAGATAGTAGTGACGCTGCATTGTGGTCCAAGTACAATTTGAGTAGAGAGTTCTCATTTAAACTTTAATTTAAATTAGATTCTCAGTGTTAAACTACATTATTTCTAGAGACTCTCGATAATATGGTTCTGGCCTAGAAATCATAATTATGGTCACAGTAAGTTAAAGGGGAACTTAGGAAATGTTTTTTCTTCCAACTCCTCATTCTGTACATAATAAAATTGAGGTCTAGGGGTACTAACTAGTAGGCCCAAGACAGTACAGCTTGTTAGTGACAGACGTGGGACTATAACACAGGTATTGTGATTAACAGGGTGTGATTGTTGTCAACATCCAACATATATGTGAGCTTCAGATTTTTCAAACAGCCATTTTCATTTTGTAAACAAAGAAAATGGAGAATTTAACTTTTGGGAAAAAAAATTTTCTTAGTTACAGTGAGATATTAAGAAACAACCAGTTTTCATCCAAAACTGTCAATATCCTTCTTCCCAGCATTTTTTATCCTTGGCAGAGATGAGAAACACACAGACACACACAGGTTTGTGTTGTCTCTATTAATCTTTAATCTACTTTGAATAGTTAGAAATTTGAGTTAAAAACAAGAAAGGGGCTCTCTATCTTAATAGTTGACAAACATGTTGTACCATACTGTGGCAATTAGCCACATGTGAGACTAAGGAGCGGAGTTTTTAGTTTTATTTAATTTTAAATTTTATTAAAATTTAACAGCAGATACTTGGTTCAGTTAATAGAATATTTTTAAGAATATTTGCAGGAACTTGGGTATGTGAATCTACTTTTTCAGATGTTAAGTTCTAGGTAATCTAAATTCAGATCAAGTATTTTCAGTGAAAATGTTGCATCCAAATTGAGATGTGCTGTAAGTATAAAATGCACACCAAATTTCAAAGACTTAGTATGGAGAAAGGAAAGTAAAATAACTCATTAATAATTTTTATGTTGTTTACATGTTGAAATGACAATATTTGGGATTTGGGGGGATAAATAAAACACATCGTTAGTGGCACCTGTTTTTTCTATATTGCGGCTACTAGATGTAAAACTGGCTTGTGTTCTATTTCTGTAAGGCAGAATCTGTATTGTAGGAAGCTGTACACTACCTTGAATCTTTCCATTAACCATTTAAAGGAACTACCACATTCCTGTTTTGGAAAGTCACTGTCCTAACACGTGGTTTAGTTTGCCCGTAGTTAGCTGTATAATGCATGTAAACTGTTAACTTTTTCTTTGAACGCTTCAGGCTTGTTTTGCTAGATGATTGTCTTTTTTCCCCAACAGTGGCATGCCTATAATCCAGCCCTGCAGCTACCTTACTATGAGATGGCAGCACCGCTTCCTAATAGCACGTCTGCAACGTCTTCACTAAATTGTGCTCCAGATCTGGAGGCTGGACCCAGCTCTTACGAATGGACTCACCAACAGCCCAGTGACCCTGACCTTTATCAGACGAATAAACGAAAGAGGCAAAAACAAACCAGTGACAGCGATAGTAGCACAGAAAACAAGAGGGGAAATGAATATAGCCAAAAGTTCCAAAAGTGTAAGAAAAAGAAAAGATATTAGCATTATGTTCACATGAAATTTGCCTACCCTGTCATCATTTTCTTAAAAGAAAAAAAACACCTGTATTCTTCTAAATGACCAATCTCGTGGCTTTCTTGTGTTTTTTGAAATATATAATATGACATCTGATTTGCTATTTCATTTTTGTCTTGAATGACAAAAACTTATAAATAATATGTAGTACTTTTTGTAATGGCATTTTTGACACATTGTCAACAAGAAATATACTTTGAGTTGTTATATTTTAGTACTGATGATGAAATTGCATGAAATTATCAGTCAGAAGTCACTCACTGAGCCCTTGTGGATAAGGCACCCTTGCTCTCCTAGTCTGCTGCCTGTATGGAGTGGGGGATTTTCTGAATGGAACTAGTGCAACTATTTAGGGGTTTCATGTTCCTAACAAAGATGGAAAAGCAGGCTTTAGTTTCCTTTGTGAATAACATTTTATTTTTTATGTCTAAATATATTCATTCTGAGCCTTACTTTCCTACAGGTTTATTTCATAAAATGAGGATATCTGACAGTGATACCAAAGGAAAGATGATTATCATGGGACTAGTTTTTAGATCCTTCCTTTTTTATACAAGTGTATATAAATAGGAATCCCTGCCTCTTTACTTCTCAATTTTATTTCATGAAAATTAGTTGGCTAGGACAGTATTTATTATCCACCTCTTTTGCCAACTGGGTTTGAGATAGTATGTTTGACATACTTAAATCTTGATAATGAACAATAAATAGAGTGATATTTCATTAATATATGATATTTAATATTTATTATCATATCAGGTTTCCTGTTTCTGGTACATTTATTTTTAGAAGACAAATAGAATACATGTAAAATTAATGGTTTATTTGGATACTTTGTTAACTTTGTAGCTCATCATAAGCTACATATGATGCTACATATGAACTATAAGTACATAATGGTGAAAGTATTTATTTACTAAAGCTAATTAAAAGAATCCTGCAAAAGCCTTGCTTAGATATTTCTTTTGCAGGTTGCATAGCACTTTATAGATCTTTATTTCAAATAACAGAGATTTTTTAGTGAAATGAGTAACTGAATTTAACTTTTGATTATAAATATACAATGCAGTAGAGTTTTAAATATAAATATTAATCCATTTCCATCTGATGAATATGAAAAATTAAATAGTGCTTGATATAGCTTGATCTATATATACTGTATGTACCTGAATAATCAGACTAAAAGAGATGATCTTTTTTTTCTTTTTACCTTCACATTTTTGCAATTTAAAAACATTAACTTCACCTCAGCCTTTTTTTCAACTCTTATACCTATAGTTCACCTTAGCCCTACATTATTTCATAGGGATTGGCATTATCAAAAATATGTACATAAGAAATGTCTCTTAGCAAGTAAGAGTGCATATTTGTAACAGAATTACCTTGAAATACTGCTACATGAACTGAAATCTTAGAACTGCGAGGAATTCTTGCAAATTCTTCCATCACAGGCAGGAATTACCCCGATACCAACTTTAGACCCCAATACCAACTTTAGACAGTCAGCCAGTTTGAGCCAACCAGAAAGCAAATACACCTATTTGCCCTTGCCGTCTTTCATTGTTAAAATAAATAGGAAACTTTCCTTAAAATGTTACTATAATCTACAATTCTACATAATTTTAAATTATCAGTTTTCCCAGTGCTGTGTCTTTGAGTTAAAAATTATATAAATTATTTGCCTTAGAGGGTTTTATATTTTTTAATTTTAACTCTCCATTCTCAAAATCTGTTTCATGTATGTGCACATTCTGTTGCAAATGCTAGGAGAAGCCTGGAATTTGAGAACCAAATAAGTTATCTTTTTATTCTCATATTCACTAATTTTTAATGAATTTTTATAATGCCTCAGGCAGTGGCAAAACCACTGAGGAAAATTACTTAGAATTAAAGTTGGTCAGAAAGGTCAACATACACCCTTGAAATTTTTACTGAAATTTTGCATCCTGAGCTATGGTTTCAAATAGCTATGTGTAGCTCTTAAGACGGTTGTCACCTTTGAAATCTTAGCATTAAATGCAATTATTATAAGATTAGCAACAAATTTATTATAATGACAAAGTTCTGATGTAATAATGTTATCTGTTTAGAGTGTAATGAAAGAAAAAGTTAAGAATTATTATACTTTCTTTAGCACTGTCCACGTGCAGGAACACTGTACACTGAGTAGTCAACCTCTTCCTTTGTGTGGCTAAATACTAATAAATTGTTGGGCAATTAGAAAGTGAAATTTTCATCTCTTGCCAATACAGTACTTCTGAAACCGTATCCCCAGACCATTTCCTCCACTGCCTACTGAACATTCCCTCCTGGATGTCTCATTAGCAATACAAACTCAACACTTTCAATATTACCCCAATCTTTTCCTCCCCCGATATTTCCTTCTGTGATCAGTGGGGGCCAATATTTCACTATGGACTGGGTGCTGGAGTGTTGGAACAATTGTTGACCTCACTTCAGTTTCAGGCTCTCTTAGCCCAGGCGCCTACTTCAAGATAATGAAGCACTCTCGATGTTAGGCACTTAAGGAAATGAAAATAAGCGCATTTATTGAGACTGAGAGCAGAATGCAAAGATAAAGAGGATACCAGTTATTCAGCCCCAACTCCATTTAAATATGCTTGAGGACTGGGCATATTCTCCTCAGGGCGGATGTGCCTCATGACACATGTGGCTTACATAGCTGCCCCTAGGTGATGGTGTGACTGTTTGGTTCCCCCATCTTTCTTGTCCCTAGGAAGAAAGGCTGGAGGAGTAGGGTTGGCTTTTAGAATACCATCCCAAAGAACTGATGGAACATCAACTGAACTACTCAGGTCTGTAGTCAAAGCTCAAAGTGTCCGTATTGTACCTCTATTTTCCATTTCTATACATCCTAGTAAAGCTAGTTACATCAGAATTAAGAGCCTCTCATTAATTTATTTCCCATTAAGAAATGTGAATTAATAGTCTGGGTTTGATTTTGGGTAAAATGAGGACTAATATATAAATCTCTACAGAAATTATATTTTAATGCAGAAAATTCAAAGGACATCTTTTTAACAAAGGATGATGTCTGCTTCTATGCCTCAAGCCTGAGGAAGTTCAGTGAGCACAACTCCAGTTTGCATTAGTGTTGATGTTATTTGATCAGAATGGGTCCTACGGGGTCACATGATACCGCAACTGTGGACTAAGTCTATTACCAGTCATGCCCAACCTGCAAAAATTACTTCAGGTGCCTGCAGAAACTGCCTTAGCAGGTGAAATCAAGTAGTCTGTTATCTGGTTCCCTGTAAAATTTCCTTTCCAGCTTCCAATACCATCTTGTTATAATATTAACAGGTTTTATAAGGATTAAGAAACACATGTGCTACTTGCGTTGTAATTAGAAAACCTAAACAGTATGTAAGGATAGACAGTCATATATTTCCTGTGTTATAAGCTCTGGGAATAATTGGCACCCAACAAGCTTACATAATATTATCTGCTGCAAGGAACCTGGATCCAACAATCCCTGTTTCAACCACCTGACCTTGTCTGGGGAGCTTAATGAATGAAAACATGCTTTAAATGAATACTGTTGGTCAGTACAACACACTATTTGAAACCTGGTAATTATTGTCTTTCTTCTATTTCTACATGAGACAATTAGTAATATCCTGGATAGGAAAATAACTCTCGCCCCAGCTGCTTGCCCCAGGCTGATAACAAATCTTCATTGATTTTATCCCACCTCCAAGTTAATCACAAGGGAAACATTGCAGACTCTCCTGCATGCCAATCAAAACCCTGGGAGTTACTCTAGACAGTGCCCTTCACTCCATTTCTAAGTGGTCATTAACTCCTCATTGTGACCTTGCTCAGGTTCTTTTCATTTCCTGCTTGGAGTGTTCATTAAAGCAAATAAATCAACAAGGAATGATTATCATTCCAAACACAGATTTTGGTGCTGAGGCCACAGCGTCACTGGAAAAGTTTGATCCCAACATTCAAGGAGTTTATGATTTTTCAGCAGAGATGGACAGTTAGGAAGGTGATTTCAGGATAATGCTACAACAATAGAGGTAAACACAGAATGCAATGATGGGAGGGCATGAGAGTCTCCATTCCTCAAGAAAATTAATCCTGGGAGGAAGAAAGGAAAAGAAAACCTGAATACACACACACACACACACACACACAAGGATATCCAGGAGTCCAACAATTTTCTATCCTGACTCTCAACTGTCTTCACATTTTTAGCCCTGCTTTTCACCCATCCTTGGAAGAGTGTCTCCAAGTATTGAATCTGTACAAGTAAAATGGCTTGCCTGTCAGTATCACCCCAACCTCTTAAGGATACAGGAACTTGGGTTATGATGATAATTTTTTTTAAAAAAATCATGTTCTTATGGAACAGTCTAGTGGAAAGAGAATAAATAAGATAACATACAAAGTTAGATGTTAATAACTGATAACTGCTGAGGAAAATGATTTTTTTTACAGGAAATGTTTAGGGATTAAAAACTCAAAGCAGGAGGGAAAGTAAGCCATGTGCATATCTGAGGGAAGAACACCAGGCAGAGGAAACAGCAGATGCAAAAGCCCCATGGAAGAAAGGGAAGGAAGCTAATATGGTGAAGGAGGTTGATCACAGGTGAGATGTGAGCAGAAGAAAATGGGAACTCATAGGCCATTGTAACAACTTGAACGTCTTGTGGATGGGGTGTGGGGACAAGTTCTGACATACCAAGACTATTGAAGTTACCCAGTCAAGAGAAGATGGTTGTTTAGCTCAAAACAGTAGCAATAGAAGTGGTCAGATTCTAGATGTATTTTAAAGGTAAAGCTGACAATTCACTAAGCATTCTAATCCTGGGAAAGAAGGGTCAACAATGATTCCAAGTTATCATTTATTGATATGGGCAAAACTATGGAGGAGCAAGTTTTGGAGCAGGATCTGGAGCAGAATTTTGGACATGTTAGTTATGATTTGCATATCAAAAATCTAATAGATATCAAGAAATTTGTATATATAAGTCTGGAGTCCAGG